ACATTTTGCAATATTTTTTTATTGGGGGTGCCGTCACCACCGCTTAGGCGGCTGCACGTACTAACGTGATTTTTTGCCAAACTTGTATCCCCCTCGAAAACAAAAATCGACGGGTCTGAGCGTTTTTCCAAAAAAAAAACTAAGCTACCAGTAAATGCGTCTGTTTCGTTTTCGATGCGCCACCCTGTATATGTGTAATATTCCATTGCCGACTTTGTATCTGTACTCGAGCCATACGTGCATGATGTCACGTATGACGCAACTGCACGAAGATGCAGGTAATTTTACGTGCACCAAGAAGAAATGATGTAAAAGCTTATAATATTTCTGATGATGTTGACGTTTTGTTTTGATGGTGTTGGACATTCCGGGCATAATGAAACTGTGCATAAGCGCCTCTAACAAAACACGAGAATTCAAATGAAATTCCAGGAATGTGACAAACCACGTCCATAGGTCGCGATAATCCCACTGCGAATCAGGGGTCTCCGAGTTCGATTATACAACTGCTACTATCACAGATTTTTCAATGGGCTTTGGGTGCGGCTATGAAATACCTTACAGGTAAAATGTATGTATATAAGTTCGATCTTTCGTCTCTGGTGTGCTAATCAAACATGCATGCCTACACCACAGATATGTACAGTACTTCAGAAAGCCGACAAATAGTTCATTAGCTTGGTTCAAAATTCAGTTGCAACAAGAATTTGGAAAATGGAAACGAATAATACGAAAATCACTTTTAAAACTTCTCTTACTGTAGTGAATCTATTTATTTTTGAAACATTGCAGGGTATCCCCAATAATCTTATACCAACTGATCTTGTTCTCATTCCTATTTTTAATGTGCTGTGCATGTCTTCCGAGTAACGTAATAGTTCTTTTTACCATGCGTCTGTATTTGACATCTTGCAGATGTTCGTGCTATTAAAAAATCTAGGACATTTTTGATGCTTGTGTATGCATTGTATCTTGTATATCATGTTTATATTGAAAAATATATCGCATGTCAAGAAGTATATTTGCCAGTTTACAGATTTTCGTCATTAGATTTGATGATTTCAATATCACAAACAAAAACAGGATAATTTGAAATTAGTACAGCAGATTTCATTCTTCTGTATTTAATATTAAAGGAATCAACCAATAGTGTTTTATTTCTGTCCCTGATACCGATAGAACATACATGCCAAGTTGTCAACGCCAGAGAGGTTATGCAAGGTTATTTTCCTGACGTCTGATAGACGTTTATAGTTTAATACCTAAAAATAGGTCATCGTTCGTATAAGAAATTATTACGTCTGACGAGAGCTTGTTGTGCCATAACTTTGGCGCGAAATTTTACGTATGGAGGGCAAATGGTCACTTCTCGTTGCTAGAAGAAACTAGGGATATACTTGTTGGAGTCAAAATATTGATATTTTCTAAAAATTAAGGTTCTCTTATATACCCAAATGCAAAATATCTCATGGAAACCTTGCCATAATTTTAAATTTGGAATAGGATGCATTTCAGGGGTAATTCTGGGAGCTTATCTTTCCTCATTTAGAAAGGCAAATAAACTTGACCCTACGTCAAGATAAGGCAGGAACGCGACGTACTTGATAACATTTACCGATGACTTCAGGTAGCTCTACGTTAAGGACAAAAGGAAATTTTTCTTTGAGAGGACGTTCAAGTTTCACTTCGCAGATAAACTAATGATTAAACTAGTAATATAGCTTTCGTCCGTCCGACCACAGATGGCCAACCATGGACAGCTGTTTCGTGCTTTTTTGCGGCTCATCAGCATAGTTTTTTCCCCACCAGTAATTGGTTTATAAACTGTTGGTGGTGTAATTGAATAAATAACTAAATAAATAAAAAAATAGTCTTGGCTAGGTCAGAGGTAGTAAAGTTCATTTACTGGCTTTTTTAATTTTAACGTCATTACATTTCCTTTATGATTACAATTATAATATATCATTAAACATGTTATATAACAAAATATTTTATATTAGTCGTTTTCTATACATAAAAGCAGTAAATCAATCTATCAAAGTGAAAAAGCAGTAATTTTCAAACTAAACTACTTTTATTCTCTGTATGAGATACAAGTACTGCCTTTTTACCCTTTATACTATATAATTTATTGATTATAATTCAAAACTGACACTCCATTTTTCAATATTTTGGAATGAAATTCATACAGTATGTTGAGAAGATAATTGCCCAGGGTGCTATAGGAGCACTTTTGAAATTTAGTTTTTGCACAAGTTTTATGACGGGTTTTTTTTTTTTTTTTTTTTTTTTTTTGGCACTAGGACATTGCCCCATTAGCCAGAATCAAGTATTTATCTATTATATCATGCAGACATATATAATTTAAGACGTGTAAAATGGCAATGACGTAGCAAGCAGATCCCCTCAGCTATCAGGGTATTGCAGGAAAGACATTTTGGTGGCACAGTCGTATTTGGGCGAAGGAGCAAGTACTTAACAAACAGTATGGAGAAAATGATTATTAAATTTCTTCTAATGCACACTCTCCACTCTGGATGAAAAACAAAAACGTAAATATAGAAGAACTTATAAAGTGTTATCAGGAGGGGGCGGGGGTTAAGCATTACACACAAATTTTCAGATGACATTAGTGTCTAAAGGACACCATAACTACATATTAAACCTATGCAACTCTAAGGGGGAGGAGAGAGGATGGGTCAGACAGGGACACACGTTCTTCTCGCCCAGGGACCCGTCAGGGCATTTTTCATTTTTCACATACAACAATTAGGCCACGGATATGAAGGATATATTTATACATAAAGGTACAAAAAACAGAGGATAACTAAAATACGATTGTTATATTTTGATGCCAGAATTTCTGATAAATTTAACAACGAGAATGATCACATCAGATCTACCTAGCGAAAATACATGAGATGTATTTAGGGGGGCAGATATGCCAGATTTCACCAAATCGGAGTAGAGTGCATTGCAGTGATCCAGGAATTTAGCGCAACCAAAGAAACAGTGATCCAAGTCACCATAAACTTCACAAACATCGCACAGTGCAGATGGGACCAAATTTAATCTTGCAAGGTGTGATGGAAAAACACCATGTCCTATTTTCGCACGGGTGATGCAAGAAATATATTTTCTGGGTATTTTGAAATTTTCGTGCCAGTATCCTCGTGGCAGGCTAGGGTGTATGAGGTTGTATCTTGTAGGATTAGTAAAACAGTATTCTATCCATTCACTGCGCCATCGCTTGAGCAAATTACCTTTAAGTATCACTCGATTGTCTTGCATGCTTAAGGGTATGTCCAGCTTAGTTCCAGATGTTATACTCATCTTTGCTAGATCGTCAGCTTTTTCGTTGTGTATTATCCCAGAGTGGGCCTTCACCCAAACTAGTGTAATCCTGAGGCCTCGTTGTTTTAGCTGACTTATTTTCCATCTTATGTTGAATAAGTGTATATTTTGCATATCGAAAGGACTGCCGTTTTTTAAACTACTGACAACAGAGAGGGAGTCCGAGAATATAGACGTGTTACCAAGATTGTGGTCCTCTACAAACTGTAGGGCCTGGAATATAGCAATAGCTTCTGCAGAAAAAATCGTGAATTCATTTGGTAGTTTAAACATGGAAAAAATATCTATTGAAGGAATATAATGAGCGCATCCCGTTCCTGACGCCGACTTCGATGCATCGGTGTAAATGAATACATCACCTGCTAATTTACTCTGCACTTCTCGAAGTAGGTTCTGAATGTGGTGTGGTTGTTGCTTGTAAGCTGGTACTCTAACATCAAATCCTGATAGTAAATGAAAGTAACTTATATCTTGGATCAATCGTTGGCTATGAGAGGTTAGTTGTATTCTGTTGGCATATTGTATGGCACTGCATAGAGGCGGAGAGTTTCTTTTGGTCCAATATTTGCATGTCAAGTCCATGGTGTTTAGACGATGAATTTTGCTGAGTAAGTGGCTGTCCGCGTGTTGTACCTTAAGTAGAAATCTGCTAGATAACATTTGCCTTCGAAGATGTAAAGGAGGCTCCTGTGCTTCTGCTCGCAAAGGTCCGACTGGTGACGATTGCATTGCTCCAAGACATTTCCTGAGAAATTTATTCTGAGTTATATCTAGCACATGAAGGAGATTTTTACTGGCAGAGCCATAGAATATGCTGCCATAATCAAGGATAGATCTAACATATGATCTGAAGAATAATATTGCGATCTTTTGATCGGAGCCCCACCATACCTTGCAGATCATCTGGAAAAAATTGAAGGCTTTCTCACATCTACTGACTACTTGTTCGATATACGGCTTCCATGTGAGCTTTTTGTCAAGGATTACGCCGAGATATTTGACAGAAGTTTCAACTTTGAAGGATAACCCTCCCAGTAGTATGTTCCTCTGTAATGATACATTGTGTCGTGAGAAAACGCAAAAGGATGATTTTTTCAACGATATGTCGAAACCATGTTCCATTACCCACTGTTTGTAGTGTTCCATTGAAGAATTTAGCATAGATACACATTGATTAAGTTGACGGTTCTCTATATATACACAAATATCGTCTGCATACTGGACCAGCTGACATGGGGTTTGCACATCATGTAAGTCTGCCGAAAAGATATTGAATAAAATTGGGCTTAAAACTGCGCCCTGTGGGATACCTTCCTGTACTAGTCGTGGTCCAATCTTTCCGCCACTGTCGTTGCGTAGAAAAATATTCCTATCACGGTATAGGTTTGTTACAGTAAAACTAAAGTGAGGTGGGATGCCAAATTTTTCCAGTTTGTTTCGAAGTATGTTTAAATTGATGTTGTCATATGCACCTGTAATGTCTATGAAGATGCCTGCTAAGTAGTTGTTTCGCGTGAAACACATCTGAATGTCGGTGACAATATTCGTAATAGCGTCTGCTGTTCCAACTCCTTTCTTGAAGGCATATTGGTTGTTAGGAAGTGGATGAGATCTGAACCACCATTCCAGGCGATTTTTGATCAATCTTAAGTCTTCATGACGCAGGATAAAAGAGATATCGGGCGATATGAGTCAGCGCAATTGGGATCCATGTTTGGCTTCAAAATTGGAACTATAACGATGTTTTTCCATTGGCTAATTGTGTCTGCATTCAGCCAAATGTTGTTAAATATATCCAGAAGGAATAGTTTTGCATTAGATGGGAGGTTCACGAGCATTGGATATGTGATATCATCGCAGCCAGGTGATGTGTTTCTGGTATTTTTAACTGCAAGATTTAGTTCCGTCATGTTGAAAGGTCTGCTGAAAAAGTTGTCTTGATGTAAACGTGGGGGAGGTACGACTTCTGCAGCCACGAAGGACGGAGAGCATTTTCTATGGAAGTCGTCTGCCCAATCAGAATTAGTTGATGCTTTCTTTCCCATGGGTATCCTTCTGATGATTTTAGCCTGTTTCCAGAGATCGGTTGATGACGTATTTTTATTCAACTTAGATATCCATGCTTTCCAGCTATTTTTTGATTTTTGTTTGAAGAGTTTCTTTGTTTCAGCAAATACCTTCTTGCAGTGGACGAAGTTGGCTAAAGAACTGTCCTGTTTGTACGTTGCTAAAGCTGAGGTCCTTTGTGCTATGGCACTTATACACTGTTCATCCCACCAAGGAGGGGGTGGCCGTTTCTTAGCTTTAAATGGCCTTAGTATAGGGATGGAGATCTCGCTAACATCATTGATCTTTTCAATGAGATAATCGTATTTACTTTGAGTGGAGTAAAATTCTGGAGTAGAATCGAAAATATCTTCCAATAAGTCATGATACAAACACCAATTGGCTTTTTTCATATTCCACTTATACTTAGGATAGATTGTGTCATATACTTGGAAAGATAGAGGAATAAACATAAGAATAGGAAAATGGTCCGAACCTAATGTATCAGAAGTAAGTTGCCAATGACTTATTTGTGCAATATCTCGGGAGCAGATTGTAACATCTGGAGCAGTTACTTGCTGATTTGGAGCTACAAGCCTAGTAGGCGAACCATCGTTCATAACGACTAAATTCTTTGATTCGCATATATTTATCAACTGATAACCTATGGAATTATTAAATGAGGATCCCCAGAGATGAGAGTGTGCATTAAAGTCTCCACCAATAATAGAAGATATGCTGGTATTAGAGAAGATTGTGTCCCAATCACCAGCTGTTGAATTGATGTTCGGGGGCCTGTATATAGATAACAAAGTTAAATCAAATGTTTGGTTAATAAGATTTATCCCGCATACAAGTATATCATCATTAAAATTATTTGAAAATGATATTTCACAAAATTTTATACCTTTTTTCACAAAAATGGCTACACCAGCTTTGCCATCAATTCTGTCCCTCCTTACAATATTGTAGCCATGATATCTGATAGTATCGTTTGGCTTGAACCAAGTTTCGCTTACTAGGGCTACGTCAATATCATTTTTTGAAAGGAACATAGTCAAACTGTTTCGATTGGACACAGCGGAACGTGCATTCCACTGCATCACCTTTAGCACATTATCGGTATTATTGAAGACGCTAAGTGGAATTTATTAACTTATCTATTATGCAATGTATTTCGTTTTTCAATGTATTATTACTGATTTTTTTAAGATCACCTAAGTTTTCGGATTTGTTTACAAGTTCAAAAAAAATTTTTGAAACTATGTCAACCATTTCGTTTTTTTCTGAAATATTCGACTGATAGATCCTACTTGAAGTTACTGGATTAGGAGGTCCTGCACTAAAAAAATGTTTCTCTGTCGGAAATTATGACGGGTTGAAGTGCGCACTTTTTCTGTTCAACTTCGCGATTTTTTTAAAAAGAACCTAGTGAAAAAAATGAAAAAGTGGCTATATAGCACCCTGTGGGGTTTTGTTTTCAGCACTCTGCAAAAATTTCATCCAAAAATATCAAAAAATAAAGCGTCAATTTTGAAGCGCGCAAATCTCTACAAATCGTATTTTGGACGAATTTTGTCTACTGTTTTGTGCTACCAACCCAAGCGTTGCGGCGCAATGTACGGACTAAGAAAGGACGTATTCAGATAATTTGGTGGCCCTATTTCATATAATATCGCGTAGATAAGTCGTACTGCAAATAGGTACTCATAATCGCGATCGCTGATACTCCTCGAGTATTGAAATCGCGAAAAATTGCTAAAGTGAGATGTTATGTTTTTTAAGTCATATGACATCTACATCAGGAAAAACTGTATCACTCATTATCAACTTGGAAATTACCGCTCGTATTTTTACGAAATTTCCACACGGGGTTACCAGTATGCCAAAGCTTTATAGTTTTAGTCCAGTGGCAACGGTGCTGTAGGCAAAAAAGAAAAAGTAACAATTGCTGAAACTCCGTTTTTGACGTTTCGGAGGTTCCTAATCATTGACATAAAACAGGAAATTTAATTTTTTGTTTTTGACAGAATTCGCCATAAAACTATTATATATTTTCTTTGGAATTGTTATCCGAATTGTTAGTTATTTTCATATCAGCTTTTTTCCATCTTCGTGATAAGCGAGGTTGGACTAGGCTTAGAACGCAAATGTATTTGGTCCACATAGACAGGCCGCTCGGTATTGTCGCTCACTACCGGTGCAGCACATCTTCCATGGTATGACCTCTTCTTGCAATAATTTATTCTTTTACCCCTATGTATTTTGCTATTATAGAGTTGAACTGCTCCACACTATTGTTGTCCTCATCATAAATTAAACTCACTGAATTCGTAATTCGCATATGACCTTTTATTGTCCATTATCAACCTTAATAAAAAATTCACTCAAGAACAATCACATCAACAAGAGTACAACACAACAATTCAACAACACAATAACGACAAGCAGTAACAAGAGTATAACAATACTAAATGATCACTTGCTGAGTACCAAAATAGGAAACGATTTACAGGCAAGATCGCTAATCGAATTCCGGCTCTGTTATTATAAAAATTTACCTCAGTACCCACCCACAGTCATCCTTTCCGACGACCGTCTAAGACCAGCCCACCGTCGTTTCCTTTTCACCCCCCGTTACCTCAGCAGATGGTGCACGTGATTGTAGGAGCCCCGTTAGCATCTCTCGCTGGATTAAATGTTGCGAACTGTCAATGGTAATCACGTCTACTGCTCTATTCGTCATTGTACGTCAGAGCGGTCCGTGGGACCTTCGCTCTTTGTTAAAGTATCGTAGGTCACTAGGTCTGTCAGGTCTGGTTGCCCAGATACCAGACGAAGTCAGGGGAAAGAAAGGAAGGAAGGGGGAAGAGCAAAAATTAATTTAGGAATTTGTGTGTGGCAAAAATCGTAATTTTGGTAGGACCCAGAATCGCACGATTTGGTTTTGATCACAGTGCGAGCCGCCGTCTTGCGTGCTTGCGAACTTGCTCGACTGTGTAGTTCTTTTACTGCTATTCAGCATGAAAACGCTGAATCTTTGGATCGTTTCACGTTGGCTGATTGTCAAAGTGAACGTTTCGCTGGGAGCCTGAAACTGAACTATCTCTTGTCATCCTGTTGTATCCGTAGAACGTATGGCACACGCCCGCTGGCTCTCGCGGCCAATACAGTGAAAGTGAAGGCCCGACAGGCCGTTCTGTCGCCGTAAACATTCGAATGGTTTTCGCTCGGCACCGCATTTTTTGGCTGATACGCTTCGATGGACTTTTATGTAATGCCTAATGTGTTCGTACGATTTAGAAATGCGTTTTACGAACCATAATTATTGCCACGGTCATTCGAAAAAGTGTCTACAAGTAGGCCAGCAGAAACTGAAAGTATATGATACTGAAGCAACAATCAAGCTCTTCCATCGAGTTCACTACGTGCGAGATGGCAGGTAGTAAAAGTACGAGGAATGTAAATTAAGTGACGATGGTGTGCTTTTCATTTTTTTGATTCAAATACAGTTCCTTAATGATATGCGAATATTTAAGGGTGAAAAATTATTGTTGGTTTGCTCTATGAACTATGGTCCAAAAATGTTTCCTTTCAAAAACTCGGGGTGTTGAGTTTTAGGAAAAAAATGGAAATTAATTAATATTTTCAGAACCGCTTCAGATATTTCACTGATATTAAGTACGTAGTGAAAGTTAACAAAGCTGCATATTTTTCAATGCAGAGATAATTTTTAGCTTTAACAGTAATGTGCGTATGGGTATGGTACGCCAATGGTTATTTGGCAAATAAAAATTATTTTTGAATTCCCCGTTCAATTCAAAACAAATGATGTTTCTTCAGTTGCTCTCCTTCGATGCGCCATTTTTGAGTAAAAAAATAAAAATCGTTCTATTGTCTAACTTGCAAAAATATTATTAATTTAATTGGAAAAATTAAACACATTAGGGGTAATGAACAACAACAACTGACAACATAAACATAACACTAAAACCAACGAAATGATTACAAAACTCGTTGAAATATCCCTGCAGTGTTTTTTATTCTATCACAAGCTGCAACTATTATTTCTCTTAATCCCTCTACGGTGTTAATGGGACTTGTGTAAACTAGTGTCTTAAGCCCCACAAAAAGAAATCTAAACTGTTGAGGTCTGGGGCCCTTGGTCGCCATTCTTCGGGTCTACCGCGGCTAATCCAACGATTTGGATAAACAGTTTGTAAATAATTACGAACCACTACACTGAAATGCGCTGATGCACCATTATGCATGTACTACATACTGTTTGTTATTACTAACGGAACATCATCAAGCAGCAAAGGCAAGTGTTGTTGAAGAAAATTCAGGTAAGTCTGTCCGTCAAGTCGTCCCGGTAAGAAGAATGGACCAATAAAGGCAAATGGAAAGTAAAGTTAAGGGCCGATTTCACGAACATTAATATATATTATGGACCAATAGGAAAATACCTTATCGAAATGCAATTTGACGGAAGCTGTCAAAGGTCCCAGAATATCAGCGATTTCTATTAAAATGTTGAATAAACTGGTGAAAGTTCGACTGTATTATAAACAAGACCACTTTTTGATTCCAACATGATGCTTTTGTACAGAGAAAACAGGACAACTTTCATGTATTTTGATTTATGTTATACAGGGTGACTTTGAAGTTGAGTCATTAATTTTCAGATAATGATTGTAGAAGGAATATAAACCAAAATATGTGTGTAAAAATAAAAAAAAAAAATAAAAAAAAATGTTTACCTTGTTTTATAAAGTATCCTCCCGACAAGTATTTCAGTGCGGACCTGTATTTGATCGTGAGGTCCCCTGTGAGGTCTTAAGTCACCTGATTCACGAGCCCGTTGTACTACATTAACAAAGGCACGAGGGGTTGGTTGCACTCGATTGGGAAACCGATCCGCATAAACATGTGCCATTTTTTATTTCGTTTGAGCCACGCAACAGATACAACTATTCACTGACACTTACTGTATACAAATGAATGAAATAATTCGTTCCAAATTCTTTCGCTTTTTTGTTTCCGATGCGATGAACCGATACGACGGATTATACGTTGTCGCCAAACACGAGCACATTGAGACAGGGCGGTACTCAAACTTCCAAAGGGTTATAACTTTGTTACTTTAATTTTACCAGAAAAATGGTAAAGGAAAAAAACATTTCTTTTGATCAGATCTACTCACTGTTAAAATAAATGACTCAACTTCGAAGTCACCCTGTAGGTGTACATTTGACCATCCGTTATCCCCTCAGAGAATGAGAATGGGAGACATAATAGGTCGATTTTCTAGCTGTTAAATTTGGCAGCAGGTTTGGTCGTTTGTTAATTCATGGCAATCTCGAAATTTGTTATGTTCAATATACTGTGTGTATATATGATCATTATATCTACATATACCTGTTGAATTGTGCGGATTTGCAAGAAAATAGAATATAAAATGTATTCCAACCAATTCGTCATCTCTCTTTACATCATAATAGTAATCATTTGTTATAAATTCATGGGTTAATGAATTTCTTCAAAGCAATCAAAACAGTATGGTCGTCCCCATCCTAAAACACCGTGTAAAACATGTTAATCCCTACATCTTCGAGGTGCATAATGCAATTATCGTAGACATAGACCTAAAATTATTAGTAATTACTGAAAAATAAGAGGTAAAAAGAATTATAAATAGTGATAAAATATTGGTGGTTAAGGTTTTTGACTGGTGACTGGTGGGGATACAATATAGGGATGGCGACGATAGACTACATTGATGTATCGAAAACATCGATACATCGGACGTAGAACATCGATCTTTACGCATCGATGGTTTCATGACGATATATCGATATCGAGAGGAATCATAAACATCCGTAACCGTATACCCCGAGTCTATCCTTAACTGTGCTCTTAGCGAGGACTGGTAGCTTCGAAATTGAAAGGCCAGAAAGCTATTAAGGTGTTTAGTAGTATTTGAATATTATCATTACAGACGAGCACTGAGCCACTGAGTGGCCACTGAGCACTGTAGTCTTTTCTTCATTCTGTA